AAAAAAAAAAAAAAAGAAAAGAAAGAAAGAAAAAGAGAAACGAAAGGAAAAGGAAAATGCAATGAAAGCTAAGTGAACAGGTCCTAAGCTTAGGGAACTGCAAATTGTCAGTCACCAAAAAAAATAATAAAAAAAATAAATAAAAGACCTAAATCAGGGTTTCTCAACAGTGAGATTCTTAACATTTTGGGCCAGATACATTTTGGTTGTGAGGGCTGTCCTATGCAGTGTAGGACACTGAATAGCATCCCTGCCCTCTACTTATAGGATACCAGCAGCACACAGCCACCTCTCCCCCACAAAATGATGTGACAACCAGAACATCTCCAGACATTGTTAAATGTCCTCTGGTTGCAAAATTGGCCCTGGCTGTGAACCTCTAACCTACATAAAGAGATACATAATTCTTATGGACTGAAAGGCTCAATATTGCTAACTTCTTTTAAAGTGATCTATAGCTTCAATGCAATCCCAAATAAAATTCCTGTGTGTGTGTGTGTGTGTGTGTGTGTGTGTGTGTGTTGAAATGTAGATTGTAAAGTTTATATGAAAAAGCAAGATACTTAGAATGGCCAAGTCAAATTTGAAGAACAAAAGAGCTGGGGACCTACCATACCCAACATAAAAACTTAAAGTTAAGAATTTCTGTTCACTCATAAGAGATTGTAAAAGGCAAATCACAGACTGGGAGAAGACATTTGCAATACACATCCAACAAAAGGATCATCTTCAGAGTGTGTACAGAACTCCCATGACTGAGTAAAAAATGACTGACAACCCAGTAAAACAAATGAGCAAAAGTCTTAAACAGGCACTCCATGAGAGAGTCAATAAGCATATTAAAAAGTACTGAAAAGCATTATCAGGGAAATACAAATTAAAACCAAAATGAGACACCACTATACTCTCATCAGATTGGCCATGCTTATAAAGACTGACAATACCAAGTGTTACTGAGGATGTGGAGCAACTGGAACTCTCATACACTGCTTAGCAGTTATCTGCTAAAGTTAAACATATA